CCTCTCTGCCTACTTGTCATTTCTGTCAAATAAATAAATAAAATTTAAAAAAAAACAAAAACCAACAGAACATACATTATTTTCAAGCACACATGGAATATGCTCCAGTATGGATCATATACGGTAGGCCATAGAACAAGGTGCAATGAATTAAGAGGACTGAAATTTTTTCAAGCATCTTTTTTTTTTTAAGATTTTATTTATTTATTTGATAGAAAGAGAGAGACAGCAAGAGACAAAATACAAGCAGGGGAAGTGGGAAAGGGAGAAGCAGGATTCCCGCTGAGCAGGGAGCCCAATGTGGGGCTAGATCCCAGGACCCTGGGACCCTGGGACCACGAACTGGGCGAACGGAAGATGCCCAAAGACTGAACAACCCAGGCACCCCTATCAAGCATCTTTTCTGACCCACAATGGTATGAAACTAGGAATCAATTACAAGAAAAAAAAACTGGAAAAAAACATAAACGTTAAGAAGCTAAACAGCATAAACAACCAAAGTGTCAATGAATAAATCAAAGAGAAAATTTTTTTTTTTAAATGAAGACAAATAAAAATGGAAACACAACAATCCAAAATCTCTGGGATCCAGCAAAAGCAGTTCTAACAGGAAAGTTTATGCTAACACAGGCCTACCTTATGAAACAAGAAAAATCCCAAATAAACAAATTAACCTTACATCTAAAGGAGCTACAAAAAGAACAAAGCCCCAAGTTAGTAGAAGGAAGGAAACTTTTTAGAGCAGAAATAAATGAAATAGATACTAAAAAAACACTGGAAAAGATCCATGAAACTAAGAGCTGGTTCTTTGAAATCATAAACAAGTTTGATAAACCTTTACCAGACGCATCAAGGAGAGAGAGAACGCAAATAAATGAATTCAGAAATGAAAGAAGAAATAACTGACACCACAAAAATACAAAGGGTTATATGAGAATACTATGAAAAATTATATGCCAACAAATTGGACAACCCAAAAGACTGGATAAATTCCTATAAACCTATAATATTCCAAAACTGAATCAAGAAGAAAGAGAAAATTTGAACAGACCAATCACTAGTAATGAAATTGAACTGGTAATCAAAAAACCCAAAAAACGAAACTCCAGGACCAGATGGATTCACAGGTGCATTCTATCAAACACTTAAAGAACAGTTAAAACCTATTCTTCTCAAACTATTCCAAAAAATAGGCGAGGAAGAAAAACTTCCAAATTCATTCTATGAGGCCAGCATCACCCTGATACCACACCCAGGTAAAGACACTACCCAAAAAAAAAGGCAAAAACAAAAACAAAAAGCAAAAAACCGTAGGCCAACATCTCTGATGAATATAGATGCAAGAATCCTCAACAAAATATATTAGCAAACCACATTCAACAATACATTAAAAAGATCATACGCCATGGTCAAGTGGTATTTATTCCAGGATGGTTCAATATTTGCAAATAAATCAATGTGATACATCACATCAATAAGATAAAAACCATATCATCATTTCAATAGACACAGAAAAACCATTTGACAAAAATAAACACCCACTGTTGATAAAAGCTCTCAACAAAATGGATTTAGAGGAAACACACTTCAACATATAAAGACCATATATGAAAAACCCACAGATAACATCACACTCAATGGTGAAAAACTGAAAGCTTTTCCCCTAAGATCAGGAACAAGACAAAGATGTCTACTCTCACCATTTTATTCAACACAGTCTTGGAAGTCCTGGCCACAGCAATCAGACAAGAAAAAAAAAAAAAGGAACCCAAATTGGTAAGAAAGAAGTAAAACTGTTAGTATTTGCATATGACATGATACTATATATAGAAAACTGTAAAGACTCCACAGAAAGTATTAGAAAAAATGAATTCAATAAAGTTGCAGGCAACAAAATTAATATACAGAAATCTGTTGCATTCTATACATTAATAATGATGTAGTAGAAAGAAAAATTTTTTAAAAATCCCATTTACAATTGCACCTAAAAGAATAAATCACCTAGGAATACATTTAACCACGGAGGGGAAAGACCTATACTCTAAAAACTATCAGACACTGAAGAAAGAAATTGAAGGTGACACAAATTAAAAAATAAACCATGCCCAGAACTGGAAGAATTAATATTGTTAGAATGTCCATACCACCCAAAGCAATCCACAGAGTCAATGCAGTCCCTATCAAAATACCAGTATTTTGGGGGTGCCTGGGTGGCTCAGTGGGTTAAGCCTCTGCCTTCGGCTCAGGTCATGATCTCCAGGTCCTGGGATCGAGCCCCGCATCAGGCTCTCTGCTCGGCAAGGAGCCTGCTTCCTCCTCTCTCTCTCTGCCTGCCTCTCTGCCTACTTGTGATCTCTGTCTGTCAAATAAATAAAATCTTTAAAAAAAGAATACCAGTATTTTTCACAAAACTAGAACAAATAATCCCAAAATTTGTATGGAACCACAAAAGACTCTGAGCAACCAAAGCAATCTTAAGAAAGAACAAAGCTGGAGGTATCACAATCCCAGATTTCAAGGTATACTACAAAGTTATGGTAATCAAAACAGTGTGGCACTGGCACAAAAACAGATATGCTAGATCAATGGAACAGGAGAGAGAGCTCAGAAATAAACCCACACTTAATATGATCATTAATCTACAACAAAGGAGGCAAGAATATGCAATGGAAAAAACACAGTCTCTTCAACAAATGGTGCTGGGAAAACAGGACAACTACATTCAAACAAATGAAATTGGACCACTTTCTTACACCATACACAAAAATAAGCTCAAAATGGACTAAAGACTTAAATGTGAGATATGAAATGATAAAACTCCTAAAAGAAAACACAGGCAGCAATCTCTTGAACACCAGCTTTAGCAATGTATTTATGGATATGTCTCCTCAAGCAAAGAGAAACAAAAGCAAAAATAAAATACTGGGACTACACCAAAATAAAAAGCTTCTGCATAGCAAAGGAAACCATCAACAAAACAAAAAGGCAACCTACTGAATGGGAGAAGATACTTCCAAATAATAAATCCAATAAGAGGTTAATATCAAAAATATATAAGGGGGCGCCTGGGTGGCTCAGTGGGTTAAGCCTCTGCCTTCGGCTCAGGTCATGATCTCAGGGTCCTGAGATGGAGCCCCACATCCGGTTCTCTGCTCAGTGGGGAGCCTGCTTCCTCCTCTCTCTCTCTGCCTGCCTCTCTGCTTACTTATGATCTCTCTCTGTCTTATAAATAAATAAAATAAAATCTTTAAAAAAAAAAATATATATATATATATATAAGACAATTCTATGCTCAACACTAAAAAAAAAAACAAAAACAAAAAAAGTAGGCTGATTAAAAAATGGGGTGCCTGGGTGGCTTAGTCAGTTGAACATCCAACTCTTCAATTTTGGCTCAGGTCACAATTGTAGGGTCCTGAGATTGAGCCCCATGTCAGGATCCACACTCAGCAGGGAGTCTGCTTGACATTCTTTCCCTCTGCCCCTTCCACCTGGCCCGTTCATGTTCTCACTCTCCCGAATGGGTGAATCTTTAAAAAAAAAAAGGTGCGGGGCGAGGGGGACAAAAAACCTAGACCGACATTTTTCCAAAGGAGACACACAGATGACCAACAAACATGAAAAGGTGCTCATATCAATGATCATCAGGGAAATGCACATAAAATGAAATATCACCTCACACCTACCAAAATAGCTAGTATCAAAAAGATAATAAAAAACAAATGGTGAGGATGTAAAGAAGAAGGAATCCTCATACACTGCTGGTGGATATAGAAATTGGTGCAGCCACTGTAGAAAACAGTATGGAGATTTCTCGAGAAATTAAAAATAGAAATATGTGATCCAATAATTCCACTACTGGGTAATTACCCAAAGAAAACAAAATACTAATTCAAAAAGGTATGTGCACCCCTATGTTTATTGCAGCATTATTTACAATAGCCACAATATGGGAGCAACCTAAGTATCCATGGATAGACTAATGAATAAAGATCTGATATATATATACACAATAGAATATTAATCAGTCATAAAAAAAGAATGAGATCTTGCCATTTATGAGAACATGGGGTGGACCTAAGGGTTATTAAGCTAAGTTAAATAAATCAGGAAAGACAAATACAATATGATTTCACTTGTACATGAAATCTAAAAAACGAAACAAGTAAATAAATAAACAACAGAAACAGAGTCATAATTAAAGAAAACTGTTGGGTGCCAGAGGAGAGAAAGCTGGGGTGATGAGTGAAATATTAAGAGGTACAAACTTCCAATTATAAAATAAATACATCCTGAAGATATAAAGTATAGCAACAGGAATATAGTCAATAATATTATAATAATGTTATATGGTGACAGATGATGACTACATTTATTGTGATCAATGACTAATGTGTATGTCTGTCAAATCACTGTCATACATGAAACTAATATAATATCATATGTCAATCATACTTTGATAATAAAAAATTATTAATTAAAAATAAGTAAAGCTAAGGAAATTCTTTCATAAAATGAATACTCTCCTCTCATTTTTCTATTTTCAAATTCTACCGGTTGTTTTTAAAGCAAATCACATGTATTTTGTTAATTCCTTAGATTATTTTAAGTTCACATACAGCAAAATCTAGGGAAAAAAAGTATACCACAACACTAAAAGAGGTTGTATTTAGAGGTGGGACCACAAGTACCACTTTTTTCTTCCTCCTATTTTCCATATTTTAAAATTTTCGTAACAGAAAAATTAAAAGTTAATAAAATGCAAAATATTTTCCTAAATCACTTTTTTTCAGACCTGCTCCTTTCTGAACTCTTTGCTCCCTTATGACCTGACTATAATAGTCCTAATAAACAAAGAAGAAAATTCTTAAGAAGAAAATTCATTTATGCTAATGCAAGTGAAGTAGTAATGTGAAGATGAAAACACATGACAGGAGAAGTCTTGATGGCCAACAGATGACAGACAGAAGACTCACTATGGTAGTGAGGGTATCAGTTACCTGTCTCTACTTCAGCAATGTCAATAAAATGATCTTCCGAGGCTGATGCCAGCATTTTTCCATCGTGACTAAAACTAAGGGTCCTCACAGGCCAATCCAGCCTGTAACAGAGTGGAGACAGGACACGTTAGAATAACCCAGTAAGTGTAGGGCACAATTTCATCCAAAATAAAGTCAAATTAATTTATCCAACAAGGAAAGTGCCAGCAGAGCTGCTTACCTAGAAAAGCACCGAACACAAACCAACTCATCCACATCCCAGAGGCTGACCAAAGCATCTGCACTTCCCGTGGCAAAGTACTTCCCCATGGGGTCAAATTTGATACAGATGCAGTTGGAAGGATGAGCATTGATAGACTGCACAGGCTTCAGCTCTGGGTAGCTGAGAAACAAGACAGACAACAATTAAACTATGGGAAGAGGACTATGGTACTAAGACGACCACAGGAGATACTAAAGAAGAAAATCAAAGACAACAAACCAAGTATCAGATGTAATTCAAACTTTCCTGGACTTTAGAAAAAAAAAAATTATGGGGCGCCTGAGTGGCTCAGGGCATTAAGCCTCTGCCTTCAGCTCAGGTCATGGTCTCAGGGTCCTGGGATCGGGCCCCACATCAGACTCTCTGCTTCGCAGGGAGCCTGCTTCCCCTCTCTGGGATCAAGCCCCACATCAGGCTCTCTGGTTAGCAGGGAGCCTGCTTCCCCCTCTCTCTCTGCCTGCCTCTCTGCCTACTTGTGATCTGTCAAATAAATAAATAAAATCTTTTAAAAAAATTAGATTATCATCAGACCTTTCTGACTGTAAGACTTTATGCCAAAAGAAAATGGGATAATATATTTAAGATATACAAGCAAGAAAACAGGAATCAAGGATTTTTATATCTAGCAAAACTATCAATTACAAGAGCTCAAATACTAAACACAATTAAATATCTGTAAGTTTTATAGGTATGTAAGCTGTAAGTATGAACTTAAAGAATATTGTCCCATGAACCCTTCCTGAGGAATCTAAAGAATGAACTTTGACAATCAAAATGACTAGAGACTTATCAGCATGGGACTGGTGATGAGCATTACATATATAGCTTCTTGTAGAAACTATACATGTAAAAGAAAGGCATAGTACATAGTAGCTCTACACTCTGATAATATTAACTATTTTTTTAATGGAAGAAAAATGAGGAAAACAATGCAAAAAGCAAAATTTACTATTTTAAGTAATCACATTGGTGGTGGTAGTGGTAATACTGTTATTCTGAGATACCTCTATGTGTAACATGGAGAAAGGTAATAAGTATCCAGTGTCCTTGAGAATCAGAATACTCAAATACCGAAGTCTCGAAGGAAAGAGTATTTATAATATAGAAGATGTTTAGTAGAATTCTTTTTTTTTTTTAAAGATTTTATTTATTTATTTGACACAGAGAGAGAAAGACCACAAGTAGGCAGAGAGGCAGATGGGGGTGGGGAGCCGGCTTCCTGCCAAGCAGAGAACCTGATGTGGGGCCCGATCCCAGGACCCTGAGACCATGACCTGAGCCAAAGGCAGAGGCTTTAACCCACTGAGCCACCCAGGTGCCCCCAGTAGGATTCTACTAGTCCTGAATTTTAGTTCAATGTTATCAACATCAATTTACAATTCACATATTTTAATCTTTAAAAATAAACACTTATATGTCCTTGCTCTGTCCACAGGAAAGGTCTAGAAATAATGACCAAATCAGCAATATGGACATCTATAGTTTCAGTACCTTTTCTCAGAAAAAGAATCCAGGGATTCTTAGAGAATTTTCTGATTAAAGGTCTGAGCCAGGAAACATACAAGGTGAACCTGGGATACCCTGTCCTACCAGAGAGCAACAAACTGAAGACTACCTGGATTATGTTAACAAAAAAACAAACAAACAAAAAAGACTCAGGAACAACTTGAAGAGGCTCCCATTAGCTGAAGAAGGGATAATTTGAGTTTCCATACAGATAATTACTCCAATAGACTGAAACACAACTACCATGCTTAAGTACAAGAGTTTACAGTAAGTCCTTTTTTTTTTTTAAATTTTATTTATTTATTTATTTGAGAGAAAGAGAGATCACAAGTAGGCAGAGAGGCAGGCAGAGAGAGAGGGGGAAGCAGGCTCCCTGCCCGGCAGAGAGCCCGATGTGGGGCTCGATCTCAGGACCCTGAGATCATGACCTGGGCTGAAGGCAGAGGCTCAACCCACTGAGCCACCCAGGCGCCCAGAGGTCAGGATTCTTTATCACCATTTGTCTTTTAAGCTCCTTCAGGCCAGGCTTGCAACTAATTCATTCTGTATCCATACAGCACCCAGCACAAAGATATGACAGTCCCTAAGCTAGAACCCTCTCACCTGAGGATGTTGATACAACCATTGCCATTTGTCAGGAAGAACATGTTGTTGTCATTATTCCAGGAGATTTCATTGACTTCAAACTTGAACTGCTCCTCCGCTTTGGAACGGTGTGTCTTGGCATCAATAAAGGTCACCACATCATCCTTGTTGCCTACAGCAATGGTCTGCCCATCAGGACTCCAGCAGATATTAATGTTCTCCCCTGGAAACCCAGATATAATCAGCAAGATACTGTTTGCCTATAATCCTGCAGTTAACTTTTTTAATCCTACGAAGACCAGAGCTATCTCCAAACCTCATTCACCAAGGTCCTAGTCAATAGAAGGGAATGACTACTTACTCACCAATTATGAGTCCAACACTTTCGTCTACAAATTGCCCCCTGTGCACTCTCATGATAATTCTCTAAGGAATACTTTATTATCCCCATATTACATATGAAGATATGAATGATATGAGAGATGAGCCAAAGTGTCAAGGCCATGAAGTAACACACCCAAGATCTAAACCAGATTTGACTCCAAAGCCCCCTAGTCTTATACCAGCATTTCCCAAACTCTAGTCATTCACATGCCACTTTTCCAATTTTTATCCTATCCATGTTAGTATATTTTTAAGTATATATATAAATATATATAGCTATATATAAAAATAACAGCTATATTTCTTTATTCAAGACTTTTCTTAAAATTGACTCAAAAATCTTCAGTTAAATAAATTCAGTTTCCATTTAGCAATAAATTCTATGGGCTAGATCTTTTTTTCTGGTAGGCATTAAAATACATACAAAGCCGGTTTTTAATGTTCATCCACGTGCTACCTAACTCACTTAAGCATCACCAGTTGTCTACTTGGAGAAAGCACTACAAGATTCCACCTCCAGGGACAAGTCTTGTCAACAAAGTCCAGTGGCCCACAGTGAACATGTCAATTAAAAATTTCACCAACTGGGGCGCCTGGGTGGCTCAGTGGATTAAGCCGCTGCCTTCGGCTCAGGTCATGATCTCAGGGTCCTGGGATCGAGCCCCGC